GGGGCAGGCGGGCCGTGTAGCGCAGGGCCCCGGGCCCCGGCGGCTGCAGCGAGCGCGGCTCCCTTCGCCTGGCCGAGCCGCCCGCCGCCCCCCGCCCGCGCACGGCCAGGCGCAGGCACCGCGCGGGGCTGCGCAGCGGCCGCGGCCGCCCGTGGTCCAGAGCCGCCACGCAGAGGCGGAGCCGGCGCAGCCCCAGCAGCGAGCCCACGGTCAGCACCTGCCCGCTGCGGGGCACCACGAAGAGCAGGCGGCTGCCGGCGCCCGGCGGCCAGGGGCGGTAGGTGAGGCGCGCGTTGGCGCCCTCGTCGCCGTCCGAGGCGCGGAGCCGCGCCACCTCCGTGCCCAGCGGGACCAGCTCGTCCACCTCCAGCGGCCGCGCCGGCGGCAGCCGCGGCCGGTGGTCGTTGCGGTCCAGGACCCGGACCCGCAGCAGCGCCTCCCGGGGGGACCGTCCCGCCCGCCGCCGTAACCGGAGCCCGTACTCGGCCTGAGTCTCCCGGTCCAGGGGCTCGGCGGTGCGGAGAAGCAGCAGCCCCCCGCCGCCTCCCGGCAGCCGCTGGAGGGAGAAGCGGGAGGCGCCGTCGCCTTCCAGCGCCCACTCCTCGGCAGGCTCCCCGGGGCCCAGCAGCCTCCGCAGCGGCACCCGCAAGCCCCGCACCCGCGTCCCCGCCGGGCTGTTCTCGGGCACCTGCCCGGAGAAGCGCAGCAGGCGGGGGGAGCCGCCGCTGCCCGGCCCCGCCGCCCCGCCGAGCAGCGGCAGCAGCAGCAGGAGCGGGAGCAGCCCGCAGCCGCTCCGCCGCGCCCGGCCCATCCCGCCGAGCGCAGCGCAGCCCGGCTCTGCGCCGCTCCCGCCGCGGGCACACGCGGCACCGGCGGCCCCGGCCCGTCCCGCGGCCACGCACGGCCCTGGGCGGGGACGGAGCGAGCCCGCCCCGCGTGGTCGAGCGGAGAGCCAGCCCGTGGCAAAGCGCACAACGCTGAGATGCAAATTCCTCATCTTCCCCTATTCCGTGGCAAAGCGCACAATGTTGCTTGGCAAATTCCTCATTTTCCCCCATTTCACATTGCCCATGAGGATCGTCTGTGAGTGATCTCTCCCTGCCACTGTTTCAACTCGCGAACTTTTTGTTGTGTTTTCGCTCCTCTGTCCCGTTGCAGAGGGGAGTAGCTTTGAGCTTTAGAGCAGCTTTGGTGGGTGCCTGGAATTCAGCCGGGGTCAAACCACCACAGGCATCCAGCTGCTCCCTCTGGGTCTTCTGCAAGCTGAGTGGACACTGGTTGAACTAAACTTCCTGGGGTGGTGACCTGGGGGAAAATGGGCAATCTCCCCCTCTCTCCTGAGCCCACCCAGCCAAGCTACAAGAACAACCATAAAAGAATCTAGGAAAAAAGCACTATTGCATGAAGGAGAGTGGACCTTGGGACACTTGAATCATAAGAGTAGTTGTCACCCAGCAGACAACTTCTGTTGTAAACTGTGTTTATCTTGGAACCACAGCCTCTCAGAAGTGCACATTGAGGTTGATGCTCCTTCAGGAAAGATGCAATATTTTTAGGACAAGAGTAGTGTGTGCTGTTGTTGACAGCAATACTGAAATGGTCCTTCTGAACATACGGAGCAAATACATCAGTCCCACTAAACATCCATAAAATAATCTGGGCACAGAACTCATCACTCTGGTTAGTCTGTGACCAGTGGAAATGTGGAATACAAGCCAGACCACTCCAGAGTCAATCCCTACCCATCAAACAAAACAGTACTCATTTTCTCATTGCTTAAAGCACGATTTCCCACCAGCACCTGCCTGTTAATAAACAAGAACAAAAGTATGTCCCTTCACATAGTGTTGGTAACAGCTCCGGAACTGCCTTTTGCAGAGTCCCCACATCCAGTTGGTCAAACTGTGTTAGGTGTTGTTCCATCAGAAATGCTCCCTCTTCCTGCTTATAACAGGCTTGCTAGTTTTACCAGAAGGTTGTTAGGAAGGCAGGGGTGTTTGTTGACAGCTGTGCTGTAACTTCAGTGATGACACATCTAGGCTGGAAGTGAAGCTCTGCTCAAGAAAGCCAGAACTCATTTCACTGTCTTTAGTAAAATATTACGGGCAACAGTCAAAGGTGACAACCAGCTGCTAGACCTGCACATCTGCCACCCAGGGAATTACCAGTTTTAAGGAGAGGTAATTGTTGGGAGATCACATTCCAATATTAAAATTACATTTATTTTTTACCCCCTCAGGGTGAAGGGATGATAGCTTATAAAATGTAGCACAATGCAAGATTTCAGACTGGGTAGGCAAAAAGTAAAACCAAATAGTTTTACAGAATGTTTTACCAGTAACAACACGAAAGTAACCATCCAGATCCATGCCTGGTTAATGTGCTGTAGCAAGCTTTGAGTATGCTGTGGTTGCTCTTTGTGCCCTAATTCCTTCCTTCATAAAGGCAGTAGAAGGCTCATTAATTTAAATCACTTAAGGAGCTAGCCAGACTGTGCAAACAAGTGTTTAGTTTAGGACAAGCTTAGTTCTGCATGGAGACACAGCACAACTCTTCTGAAGTGTGTCGCATCCTTGTACAACTTTCAACAAGCAAATTAAATCCTCTCAAAATCAAGTTCCCATTTTTAGCCTACATTACAGGACACACTACCCTTTCTATTCTCTCCTATTCAAGCACTTAGGAACATGCAGTTTCCCCTACAGCCTGTGAAGATATAAACTAGATTTTATTCACAGTATTCCCTCCCACCTATGAACCCATGTATTTTCTAATACTTTAACAGCATTTTGGTGATGGAAATTCAGGCTCCTCCTGCATGCCACTCCCATTGCCAGAATTTAGGGCACACATTAGAGAGCAGAACCAGAGCCAAGCTCGCCTTGTGGATACTCACTAGCACAACTGTGTTATTTTCAACATCCAATTACACAAAACCTGTGTGATGACAAAACAAATGTACAGGTATTTGTAGTCACAGATCCTACCCTACCATTTAAAGAGATGCAAACACACTTGAGTGTAGTCATGTTTTCCAAAGGAACTTGTCTGTTCCTGCAAAACTGAAGCAGAATCCACAGAGACTGATCCAGTGTTAATCCAAGAGGACATCTCAGTAAAGACAGTGGAGATGGCTCTTGGCTTCAATAGGAAACAAGAAATAAATATAAAAAAATAAGCTCCTTAGATATTGTCTAAACCAACACAGATATCTTCAGGACACTGTCAGCTTCCATTGCCAAAGAATCACAGTGAAATTTAGTTTTAGGGCTCTTCTTAAGCAAAGCTCATCTAGTGAACTGAGGACTGTGAACTGCAACCACTAAATCTAAGAACTGCCATGTTGAGGCTGAAACATCAGCAAGCCCAACAGCCTTCATCTGGCTTTAACTGGCATTAACAAGCCCCTGGAATGCAGCCAGCAGTTTGGACTACAGCTCAGATTGTCATAAAATGGGCCAACTTTGGAAGGAGAGAAAAAGAAAAAAAACTGAAAGAAAAAAATAAAGGAGCAGCATTTATCCATGTGCTAACAATGCTGAAACAGATGAAAATGACAGTTTCAGAAAGAGCTTTTCATGATGAAATTAAAAACAGGCTTGATTTTAATGTACCTTTCTAAAATTGCATAAATGGATTAGACACTTCTGCTGAAGTGATTTTGTCTTACTGCCCAGAATTGAAGTCAGATCAGCCGTGGAAACCACAGGTGCACCCAGCAGGTACTCCGGGGAGATCACAGCTTCTGGGCTTGGAGTCTCATGGAGAGTGTAACATGAGGCAGTGAAGAATGCAGCTGCATTCTTACCCATCCTTTTTCAACTTACTTTAGAGGGGAGAACAGCTTAAGGCATTGCTTTACATTCACCCTCACCTTACAGAATATTCTGGTATTTATTGCAGTTTAAAAATAAAGTCAGTCGTAACATGTTTTGGGTCTTTCCCTTACCAGTCAGTACAGTACCAGCAGGAGTCACGGCTTCACAGCAGAGAGTAAAGTGAAACTGAAAAGGAAGGAATTCCAAGGCATTGTAAAGCTGCTTAAAGTTCTGAAAGTAAATGTATGTACTGATGGTGTGTTAAAACCTAGTGAATAGCTCTGTAATACTCAGGATTGCTTAATGTTTGTATTTTCTATATATGCAGTTTAATTCATAACAAGATGCATCTCATCACTATTAAAAAACACCCATGACATTTATTACCTCAACAACCTGAAAGCATACAGGGGTGGAAGTATGATAGGCTGGGTCACTGCAAAAATGGGAAAATTTGGGAAACTAGGTCCTACAAACAGATTCCAGAACCACTATTTAGGTGGAAAATAATCCAAACCAACAGTAATTTTAACCTAACACCTCTGAATCATTGATTATAAACAGAATATATATTTTGTAGAGACAGACAGACTCACATAAAATACATATGCACCTACTTATAGACATATATCAATACAAATTCTATTATACATAATAGAATGTTCTCTGTTTCACAGTTAGTAACCACAGTCTCAGTTTTGCATAAAGGCATAGAAGAGTACAAAGATACCAACATGGACTTTTTGCTGCCAGGAAGCTACACTCCCCTTTGAGCTAAGAAACCACAAAGCCTGGTTGCTTGAATGGCCAAACCTGGATACTTCAACATCAGCTCATTTCCTGACTAGCCTAAAACAAAGCAGTCTGATAAACGCTCAAACTCAGAATCATTATAAATTAAATATGTAAATACGTTTTTTTTTTCAGGTACTAAATGATCTGTTTTTGGACAAGTGCTCTGTAGGGTATTTCTACTATCTTTGGAATTTAACAAAAAAAAAAAAAATCAAGATTTTTGTATCAGTACATGCTAAATTATTACAAAGTAATCTGCATTTAAAGATTTCTACTAATAATATTGTATAAAACAGTAGAGGGCTCCAAAATATGTAATCATGATCTGTAAAAATTCAAGGCAGATAATACATTAGTAGATTAGAAAAAAAATTAAATCGGTAAGCATTTGATGTTGCATAGCACTTTATTTCCAGGTGACATGCTTGCTGTATGTAGGAAGATCTTCAGGGAGAAAGTCACAGAGTTCAGGAATTCCATATGAAGCAGCTCACATTTTGCTGTTCATCCTCACACAAGTATGTCTCAACAGGCAGTCACAGTCAGCACAACATATGGATCCAGTCTGAGCAGGCTGCTTGTCCTCAAGAGTTGCAGGACTGTTTATGCTGCCCGTCAAGACAGACATTTGAGCTATGTTGCACAGTCCTCCCTTGACTTCTCGATAAAATGGTTTGTGTCCCAAACAATCCATATTTTCTGGACTTGGCTTTTATTAATTTTTTTTTCCACAGAAAAAAAATTAGTTACAAGAGAAAAATATTTACTATGTATACATTACTTTGATAAAAAACTGTCCAAGACAACAAACAGGATAAAATGCATTGTATTCCTTAGGCTTGTTATTAAATAGTTTAACATACATGCTACTGCTAAATGTCACTGTTAACAAGTAAAGCACCACCAATAATTCTTCTGCATTATTGAAGTAAACAAGTTTGAAATTTTGAAAGGCATTAAACCCTCTGTCCCATCAAATAAATAGGTAACCTCAAACATCACTTGAAAGGCAGCAATACATATATTTAACTGTGCTGAAACTAAAACCATTGCCAGATTAATTACATTTAAACACATTGTTGAGGTACAAAACAATTCAGAAGACCTTTAGGCATCACTAGCTCTGCATTTGGCATAGTTAGAGTGCAGCAACATAATGGTGTTTGTTGTTTCAGCTGTACTGATGAAGTAGGAAAGATTAAGATAACACACAATGCATGTCTTAGAATTCCCACTTTCCCCCCTCTAAAATTAAGTTTTAAAAAAAGTATTAAAGCATGATTATGCAGATTTATGTTGAGGTATTATTTCACATGAAATATTGCTTGTGTTGCAATAAAGTTCTGCTTCTCTTTCATCTCCAGTACCACAGTATTCCAAAGCCCACCTGCCCATCAGTATTTACCAGACTTAAGATTCAACCACCATCAGTGATAAGAGAAGTTCCTCATTCCATCTCCAAAACACAATAGTAAAACAGACACTTGTAAATGCAAACACATCGTATGTGCACACGCCCACGCATTCACAAGCACAGCCTATGCTTTCTCCTGTTGGAGTTTTGGTTGAAGGACAGCTTATATGACATTTTAACAAGTATTTCAGGGATACCTTACAATCCCTACAACCGGATCTTGCAGCTCCTTTTCATGTGAATTGCATGGAAAAGCTGATGGAATGATACAAGGTCTGGACACTTGAAGATGACTTAGTGAAAATAAGGTGATAAGAACAAGAGTTGGTCCCTAGCCTCTACCTTTTAGTAAATAGTAATGCCACCAGAGCAAATAGTTGGAAGAATTTTCAATGCCTATGAAACCTTTCGGCCTTCTTTCTTCCACACCTGTGTATCTTCTCCTTATTCCCCATCCCCATGGAAAATGTATTTAAGATTGTGTTGTATGAAATTGTATTTCCATTTACTTTGGAAGAAATGAAATAATATTTTTTAAATAATATGAATAAACGTTTATGCTCAGAAATACCTTTCCTTAGTCTCAAGCATCTCCTGTCAAATCTGAGTTCAAGTATGTGGTAATTCAGGAAGTGAAAGAGCATTTTTTTAACATTAAGACAAAACTGCGTACGTTAAGTTTAGCTGTGGGTTGGTCAAACTTTGATTCACAAGTCTAAGGATAACAGGTGGGTGCCTGAAAATACTATACTAATTTATTCTTTCAAGGTAGTTTTTTTTTTCATTTACTAAGATCAAGTATATCAGAAAGTGGAAATGTGAAGGAGGAAATAAGCCAGCAGAATAGTCACAGAAATTGCTATGCAAATTCTCATTCTTCCTAGTGAACAGCTGTTAGATGGCTGGCATGCATCCCAGCTGCACCACTTGGGCATCCTCAGAGGCTGGCATATTAAGACACAACAGAAACTCTAGAAATCAGAGGGACAGGAATTAAAAAAAAAATCTTCACAAAAAGAAACATGAATTACATGAATTGAGGTTTTTGTTTGTTTAATAAAAGCTTGCAAGGCACATGTTTCAACTGAATTGCAACATCTACAGCAAAGCAGATCAAAATTTGTAAAACTTTCCGACAACCCTTTCGGAGTTAAACCTGTGATCTGGTTGAAAACCAAGCCAGGGTTGTCTGCACAAGTCTGGTGTAATTATGCCCCCGTTGTTGTCCCACTGAGGGGTATCACTGGAACTATTTTTCACAGAAACTGAAGATTAGACAGTATTTAGCTAGTCCATAGCTAGATAAGAAATTAATTCTCTTTCTAAGATATGATTCTTTCAGTCACTTGTTTTAATTATGCCTTTTTACAGGAACAACCTTAATGTTCTCCCAAATAAAAGGCTACTTCTGTTACTTAAGGCTGCTGTGCCAATGGTGCTGCAATATAATTTTCTCTAATATAAAAAGCAAGGTAAAAATCTTAAATGACTCTCCTAAAGCAGAATCAATTGAAGTATCAAGAATACATCTTAAAAACTATGACAAAACTAATAACAATAACAATGTCACAGTTCAAATAAAGTTCAACTCGTTCATTTAAACATGTATAAAGGCCAACGTGCTACAAGACAGTTTTTTAGATATGTGGGTGGCCTCATTTGTGGTTTTCTTAATATGTGTGCTCTACATGTAGGTGCTCAAACTACATTATACATGGTAGCACACACAACATTGCAGGAAAACACAACAGGCAGTCAAGGACAGCTGAATGCTGCATCTCAGCATGGCAGTCTAAGGCATGAAACCGTAAGCTCTGCAATTTCACCTACCCAAGTACAGTTGTAACCCTGAAGTTTGCACCTGGGATGCCTTATTGCTGATATGAAGTGATATTCATGAATTACTAACTTCAAGAGATTAAATGACCAACACACTGACATGTAATTCCTCGACAGTGATTCCAACAAACTTAAATTGAAAAAGGAATTCTACACTTACTTCCAAGTATTACATCTATATCCACACATACAGAGGGGGTTCCTGTAGGCCTGCCATAGCTCAAGTTAATACACAAGCTTCTGCTGGTATACAGTAACTGAGTAGTCATAAACAGCCCAGTGCAGTAAAACATGCACTTGTGCACAAGCAGATAAATGCAGCCTGCACTCCATCAGACACACAGGTACACATCACCCCCAACACAATGCCTGTATGCCCAGAAAGGATATTTACTTATAACTTGTAACTCAGTTATATGGATGTTTCTCTCAATGACAGCATCCCATATATTTGATGGATTTATCTGAACACTGGTTTCAAGTAAAATGCATAATTTAACATTTTGTCAAGACTCATGGGCCTAAAAATATAACTGAAAGTAAAAAACAGATTACCGACATGTTGGCTTTTAAAACAATAAAGCTTTTTTTCTTTTAAATCACTCCAAAAGTGATAACAAGTTTTAAAAAATCTCAGCACTATGTGTCAGTGTAAAGTAAGCAAGTGTATCTGCACAGAGCAGAGAAGAATCATGCACATACAACAACATGCTGCAGTTCCTAATAATTTCAGAGTTAAAAATCTCTGATTTGCAGTACGGACTGTTTTACAGCTTCCACTTGCAGAATGGTTTGCAGACTTTTCAGCTGAGGGTTCATCCTATTTTGCCAGATCCTACATTAAAGGCATCTGGGCTCCAAAGAATCATTCCCACATTCCTGATAGACTGGTCTATGGGCCAGGTGTTACATCAATTTGTAACTGCAGGTAACTCCTAAGGGGTGAGAAACTTCTTCCAAAACTTAGTCCTGGTTTTCTGTCCAGTTACATCTATATCTAAAGCTACTGTTACCTTTTATTGGAGTTTCCATTCTCAACACTAGGTTTAAACCCAGAACTGGAATTAAAACATCATTCATTTTCTTGAAAGTCTATCAGCCAGCAACAAACAGGATGAACAGATAATTTTTTAAGAAAAGGAGTTGTAGAGGCAAAGAGGGTCATATAACAAAGAAAAATTTTAGAGGGAAGCAAAACTGCAGAGTACTTCCTCAAATTTTCAAAGATCTGTGTATTTGCATAATTGATATAAAAATAGCTATGAACATCTGTACCATTATTTATTAATGGTGGTGATTATAGTGTTTTAAATGACAGTTATGGCACTATCTTAATATAGCTATTGCATAATAAGTTGAATGAAATGAGTATCACCCATCCCTCCACACACACACACACATGTACCAGCACACACACAGGAGGTGAAACTGAAGTGCAGAAATCTCAGTAGCAAACCTGGCTGTCCTGCTACACTTGCCTGAAAACAAGTATGGCATACTGTGGTATACTGGCCCATTCTGGTGGCTGCTAAGAAAGACACACTTAAGCATACACACATACACACTTAAGTGTGGAGAAATGCTGAAGACAAATTCTTTATAAACTGAAGATCTGAGCTAGATCTAATTCCTAGCATTTCCACCAACATACCTCTGTAGACAACAGAGACAACAATGTAGAGATCAGTGCCTTAATCTATGGAAGTGTTGTTTAAGTAAAATCTTCCTTATTTGATTTATACAAACTATATAGCTACACATAAGATGTATAGATGTGTGTTTGATAAATACAGAAATGTTTACCATGGAAGAGAGAAGAATTAAAACAAAACAAAAAGAAACCCCAAACTAAAATTCCAAACACTTACTTGAAAAGACTTGGGATAGTGATTGCTTTCTTGCTAAAAATTAAAAGCTACATGACTTAAATGAGCTCTTAAAATAATTTTTCTGTATTTACTGAAGTCTATGCATATTTCTATATTTACTGAAGTCTCTAACACTAAAGTTAGAAATCTCATTTACATGAAGATTAAGATGATTTATAATGGGAAGAAAAATGTAAAAACATGGAAGACTGTAACACATTGTAGAGACTGTAAAACTGATAAATGTTCCCATTTCCTTCAAGGATGGTATATGTGTCTGCTGATCTGTAGATCAAAAAATTTCAGTTTGGTAGAATAAAGTTGTCAGTACACTGCATGTGTGCACATCTCTCTGCAAAAATATACTTCCTTGCTCAAAAGGAACTTTTCCAACTGAAATTCATTCACAATCAATCCTCAGAAAGAAACTTGTATGCTTTTTCATGACTGGAAGGATATCACAGTGTTGATTCTATATACAAAGTAGGACCTATTCCAGTATACTCGAGTGAAGTAATTCACATATGGAGAATAGTTCATTTTGATTTCATGACAAAATCGTCCATATTTTGAGTAGGCATAGTTGTCACCTTCCTCACAAACCACCTGTCAGAAAGAAAAAAACCTAATTACACTACTGAAGATAAGTGGTTACAGAATGTAATTCTGTATATTTAATTAACTTTTGTATTCTGTAAATTTTATTTATGATAGACATTTAATTTCCACATTGTACAGTTCCAATAAACTGAAAACATTCCCCTGTAATTTGTTTAACCACCTAAAATAGCCTTTGTGAATTAATCCCTTTTACAAGGTAGCAGACATTAAAACCATTCATAATATAAAGAACAACAGCAGTGGAAATTATGCACATGCCCCATTTACCCAGTAGCTCAAACCTGACCTGCACAGGGCATACCAGTATGAAGGAAAGGAAAATCTCAATTACCTTTTCCAGGCCAAGTAAGTTTGACATACCCAATGAAGATCAAAGATACACACACATAGTCCTACAAATTCTAACCAATTGACTTGGAAGCAAACTTGTGTTAGCATCTACTGTCCGATATTCCTGAAGAAATCCCCTCATTATTCCTTCTGATGGCACAGATTTACACAGCTTTAAAAAAAGGCGGTAGGACAAACTCATGAAGAAAAATCCACCAGTGGCTGCCAAACACAAAGATAACTACCCTGAGCTACAGACCTTCAGCAACAGACTGCTGGGAAACATTTGTCTTCCCCTATCAGTAAACCTGTGCTCTCAGCCAGCGTCAGAAACAAGATATTGGACTAGGACTATAGGATGTAGCATAAGCTACAAAGTAGGACTTATCTTCTTAAACACAGCAATTCAAAACACATCCACAGACCTGTCAACACACTGTCCACTGTCTCACTTACTTTGGGAATAAGTAAATGCTGCAGTTGCAGTCTCCAAATACGTATGCACTACCTTCCAGTACTTTGGAATGTCTTGATAATCTTCCAGTATGATTTAATTTTTATTAGCAAACAAACTAAGAGATTTGTTTAAAGCTTCCTGAGACAATATACTTTATCAACTTTCCAGAACAAACTATGTCAGTTTTCTGAAAAAAAACCCAATATACCCAAACCAACCACTCCCCCCAAAATAACAACAAAAACCATAACAAAACAAACAAACAAACCAAAACAACAAACAAACAAACAAAAACAAACAAAAAAACACAAGAAGGATTATCAAACATGCAGGAAGTATGGAGATGAGAGATGCAGGGATATGAGGGCATGGAATTCTAAAATTCTGGTTAATTGCTCCCGTGGAGATCCTAAGTGTGAAGAGGAAACAGGAACTTAGTCATGCAAACAAGAAGAAACTGAGAGGTAACGTGCAGATTTACAATGATGGAGGTTATTCATACACACACACTCTAGGTATGGTACAGTATATTGAATATATCCTGGAATAATCACAGCATACATGATTTTAGCAGCAAGACAAGAAAGGAAATGACAGATTTCAGCAATGGTAAGGAAGTTAATAGAAAAATGTAGACAATATCCTTCACGGATAAATTAGTTAGGAAACCTAGAAGTGAAACTGACACCAGCTGTAGATTCCTGGGGCAATATGGAGTAATCCTCTAATAACAGTTAACACCTCTCCTATATTTCTTAGAGGTAACTGGTGACTCCCTCTTGACTGTTGACCTGAGAATAAGCAATGAAACTCTAAGTGAATTTAAGGCAATCTCCTGCCTTTCTAAAATCAACATTTTTGCTGGATTTCCAGGAAGCCAATGAACAAGTGGCAGTGAGATCACCTTATAAATCTCATCTTATTGCCTACTTTAGCAGCAAGAGCAGCACTACCAACATCCAAAGACACAGAACATGTCAATGACTGAAGCAGCATTCATGGTGCAGTTTATTCAACCAATCTTTCTAGCAGATGTGGTTTAACCAATTTGCTGATGTGCTAACCTATCTGCAAGGCTGAGCTAAATACACTCACGCCCTCATCAGAACCAAAGTCTGTACTGAACTAAATGACAGGCTGGTCCTCATCTCAGCCAGAGTTTTAGAAGAACTGAGTTTATCCATTTCAGAATTTCATCTTCAAAGCTAGTAAAGAATGCCTTCTGAGGCAGGACTTCACTACTTTTGTAATAATCTCTTCAAGTGTCAGTCTTGAACATTTATATATAGTTAAATGGTATTTAATGATTGGCAGAAAAGCAGCACAGCTGGATGTGTTAGGAGGGATTAGGACAGTTAATAGTATTAGGTAAAATTTTACGTTTAAGAAACAGACAATCCAAAACTTAACCGATCACTTTTAAAATTTGAGTCTTTGCCTACATGTCAATTACACTAAGAAAAATAAGACCAGCATTATAAGATTTATTTTTAATTTGTCATACATTCAAACATTCATATTTTCTCACCAATACTTACATGACCATTAGCAACATCCAACAGATCTTTAACTCTGCATCCTCTTACAGGTCCCACTTCATTGCAAATTGAATCTTCAATAACCAGAAAGTTGGCCTTGTAAGATGTGAGTATCTTATAAATATCCTCTGCTGACCTCTTTGAATAGATTTGATAAATCTATAAATTAAGAAAAAAGGTTCATGCAATGCAAGAATCAGTGATACCTGCAATACTGGAACACACACACTCCCCAACGATGACCTATCTGCAATGACAAACTATATGTACACATCAAGATATAAAACGTTTGGTTTTGAAATCTCCAAAACAGTGAGGCAAGGGCCTGCTGAATGGGAAGTATTTGTATCTGATGATAGCAAGTTCTCATCTTACATATTTCAAGTGGCCTGAAAAGTGATCATATTTTGATATTTCTTTCTGTGCAGAGTGAAACACTGATAATCTACTTGACAATCTCTACCATGTCTGCTGGACTCCTATGTCCTCCTCCCTTCTAATACACTTCATTTCTTTGCATTACATTTGGGTGAAGAGGAGAACAGTTCCTGTGAGATGCCACATTTATGGAGTTGGATACTCACATTCTCATTTCTTTTCAGAAGATCATCATCATTATACAAAGGCAAGCTCGACACCATCCATCCTGTACAGAGCTTAATCACACCCATGAGCTGTGGGCTGCCTGCAAACACTGCAGCCACAGGAGCCTGTCGCCTGCAAAACAACACCGACACACACATCTGAGCACTGCATGCACTCATTGAAACAAATTTATATACTGTGGGATCTGTTAGGTGCTGCAGAATGAACTGGCCTATGTGACCGTGTCATCGGGGGTCTCATTACAATTGGTGATGGTGCTGCTGTGGCAGTATTTTCCTTGCCAGGGAAAGCACAGACCTGCAGCAATATGGAGTTTGAAAGGAAGGGTTCCTGCTGGGGCAAGGGCTGATGGTTGTTCTCCCCTCCTTGCAACCCACCAAGCACCATTCAGAGTGGTCCTGGAATGGATCCAATATTGCTTTTCTGAATGGTTGCCAACTCGTGACAAAACAAGCTCAGGAGAGACTGTAGGTAGAAGGAGAAACATGATGTTGTCTTGTAAGATTTGTGATTGTCGTAACTTGATCTCTATTATGTATTTAATATGTAATCTATGATTATGTATTTCATAATCTATGAGAAAATAATGTCAGCATACAGAATAATGCCTACAGTAATTATGTTTCTGAGTCTGGTATAATTTTTTGACTATTTGTATTTCTGTACTAGTGAAAGAAAACAATCATTGTCACATTTTATTAAAGACTTTGGCGACTTCTGTAGAGAAAATTTAAATTAAATTTGTATTATCAGAGAGATGACTTTGAGAAAATATATTGTAATAATGACATTGAATTAAAATTTCAATGTAGATTGCTAAGTATATCCATAAGAATTATTCTTTAAAAATAAGAACAGCTGCTACAAATAAGGGTAGCCAAATTGCTTTGTAGATGAGTGAATCTCAATGAAATTCACCAGGATTAATTATGTACTTGAAGTATATGCAGACTAACATAAAAGCCATTAGGTACTTGGCATTATTCCACTTGCTGCCTTGAAGAGCTACAGCACTGACAAACAACATACACTACTACAACAACAAGAATAAATTGGCTGGAACACTAATTACCAGTCTTGCCTTTTGTGAAGATGAACAGGTTGACATTAAAGACTACATAAATACAGAAAGTAATATTCTAAAAAATACAGTTAAAGCTAAGTTATCTGAACACAAGGGATCTAATTTTCAGAAAAGTGCTGTTCCTAATGACATAGTTTGAAGTTAAACTGAATGAGGCAGAATGCAATTCTGAAACTTTTGGTGGTAAGAAAAATGTATCTGTGAAAATAACTTGACTTGGTAGTAGCTGTGTATATGCTCAGTAAGAACTGTAAAATATAGCTCCATACTTTCTGTGGTCAAAGGGGAAGTCTGAATTACATATGCTCCTCTCTAAGTATCCTGACAAAAGTCTCTAAATTCTCACATTCAGGCATTTCATTTTATTGGCTCAGACAGACAACATTTCAGTGGTTTTGTCCACCTCTGGCATTACAATCAACATGAATCCTGTAATTTGATGAAAAGTTAGCATGCAAAGAAGCAGGATCTAAGATCTTGCTAAGATCTCCACCTCTAGCTGGAAACTAGGTCTGCAATAGCATTAAATATGATTTGCTTGTGTGTTTCAGGATCTTCTCTTGTAATCCATTATAAACTCCTGCTTCTTTTCATGGGAACAATACCAAATTTAAAATATAAAGCTTCTTCCCCCATGCATCACTGAACGACTTAGCAAGGGAAAACCCAGCTTGATAGAGGTAGCTCCCCAAACTGCTGAGATAAAAATACCCTTACAAAAAGCAGTAAAATAGAAATGTTTGACTTCATGCTTACTTTATCCATGTCATAAGTTCTACTGTATCAGGATCATAGAATTCTTGCAGTTCTGTAAGTTCTGTCATTATTCTAGGAAAAAACTGATGGAAATGTTTCTGGTTACTTACAGTTTAAATAGGTATCTATAGAGCATCTCATTACATTAAGGCCTTAAGTGACACAACAGAAATGAGTTTCAACAATTTTCCCCCCGACTACTAATTTTGCTTGAACATTTTCCAAAACTCAGCTCACATTTACTTACCTGACAGCAGGAGACCCTCTCCAAAATAAGTATGTTAAACAGAAGTTCTCATCTCTATTTTATTAGAATACTTAAGAATAAATAAACAAATAGCAGCAACAACATTCATCAACATCAAGTGACCTTAAATTCATCAAAACCATACTTCAGGTGGCCATATGCAAATGTCTACAAATATAGGCACTGAACCAAGAAGATGACAAATCCCTCATCATAAACCTACTTGAACAGGAGGAATTGGACTATTGTGACTTGATGGAAAAGTGTTATGGAAGCAAGAGAGGAGAGAAGAAATTTCCTAGCAGAGCCCCTGGTAATGTGGCCTGGACTTGTTTCTGAGTTCAATCACTGCAGTGAAGGAAAGCACATTACATTGTGTGAAGTGGGATATCCCAGTTTATGCTCTTGAAAAAACATTTTGGGAAAAGGAGGGATTCTGTAAAGTGAGACAGAGTGCCACCTCTTTCAAACCAGGCCCAGATTGCAACCCTGTATCATGGCTTCCCCACCCTGTCAGGTTTGAGGTCCTTCTTTATTAAGACATGAGGTTTTGTCAGTCCTTGAGCACTTATCTGAAAAAGGCATGGCTGGAAACTGGCCAGCCTTGTGGGGCTACAGCAGGTACATGTACATGCTTTTATAAATGCTAAGTGAAAGTTCCTGGATGTCAGCTCTTTTGGAAAAGAATAAAGTTTACAGGTTATGCCAGATTAAAGAGACAGCTTATTTGGGACAGCCACGGTGGACAGACAGTTAGAAGTGGGAGCCTGCTTTTAACTGAGGAGTTTCCACACCCATTACCTGGACAACTCAGCTGTCAAGTGACAGCAGTCTACAACCAGCACAAGAGCAGCTGCCATATGTTTGTGTCAGGGACAAACAGCACTGCTGTTACACATACATTGGAACTATTCCCAGAACAGAGGGATGGAAAGAGGAACTGCTACTGCCACCCCAAGGAGAACACAGCACCTGGAAAAAACCTAGTAAGAGGAGGGACTATGCCAGACACAGTCAGAAGGCAGCCAAGCAAAAAGATGCTGAGCTATACAACTCAGCCTTTTATAGCCACGCTAACAGATTAGGAGTCTCAAGGCATTTTTGCTGCTCTGTTACTTCTAATCAACATTCCCACCCTCAGGGATGAATTATGAACCTGGAGAGCAAACTGTTCACCACTGCTTAAAAGTAGAAGCTGGATCTGCAACGGATGAAGCCCTCTAGAGTCCAAACCCCCACACTGCTTTCATTAAAACAATCTGAGAAATAATTACTTGGTTAATTAAATCAGTTTTCTCTATTGTAATAGATTTCATAACTCTTTTGAGCAACTCCAGCTTTTTTTACAGACAGTATCTATTGCTCCATCAAAAACATGCAGAAAGTCAGGCTACAATAGAAAATTTGGTTGCAATCTAAGATAAATGTTAAAAAAACCTGTTGAAATACTGCTGGGCAAGACCAGCTTCTATATATGAATTGTTAGACTACCCAAACTATTTTAAAGCTGTGCCAGTATAGAAGAAGATTACACTTTATGAGACATTTCACAATTTTTTTGCACTGACAGGAGCTTAAAAAACAATTTCCAAATACTCTACCCCCAGTCTGTCTGTGACTTGAAATAAAGAATTAAGTATTCACTTTAAACATGGAAGATTTGTGTCTTTTCTTCCCTGTATTGTAGTAGGTACACACCTCAACACAATGGTCTGCACAAAGAATTTCACTCCGTTATAATTTGATGGGAGCTTTTCCAACACCTTATTTGCATATGGCCTCCTGTAATTTTACTTCATCTAACTTTATTCCTTTTCACTAAAACTAAGTTTGAGGCAACATAGTTTTCAACATCCTGAGTTTTCATTTGGCAGTATTTTCTTTGTTGAGTCAGTTTATACATCCAAAGCTTAACAGCTGAATACAATAAAGTCTTCATTTAAATTTAATTGCAGTAAGTGATCTTTAAAAAATTAAATTGTCAAATACCTTACATTGAAAAAAGTGAAATTTCTTTTAAAAACTAAACATATTTTCAATGGATGACAGCTTCAATTTCGTCATATATATTAATTTCACCGAGTACATTCCATTATATTTGCTCATCATTTTGACTCATATTATGCCTATATACAAAGAAAACTCCACAAAGGTACTTTTCTTACCTCTTTCCACAGGCTGAATCCAATTATAGTGGGAACTGCCATACTCAGAATAAGAGCCTAGAAAAGTACATGTTAGAGAAAATGGATTATGCACTGTTCTCCAACACTGAGGTGTCTGTTGATTCTGCACATACAATGAGCAGTATTTATGCCTGGAACCTTAGAGTGACAGTAGGTGAAACTTGGTGGCATTCTACCAGGCAAAAAACTTTTGTCAAACAAGAATTTGCCTAATTTAGCATGGAAGGCTTCATTTGACTTACAAAAACTTTACCATCAATTTTAGGGACATTTAATTACTATTCAAGTAACAATGATTCCTTGTACTCATGACATAGGGAACAGAAGAACATAAACACCTCACATTCAAATGCTATGAGAAAGGAAAAACAAGCATTTCAAATCTCTGATCTTGTTGATGCTTCTGTTCAGATTAGCATTATTGATGTTCAAGACCCAGAAACCCATCTCTCAGCATACCATCACTCTAGATCATACAGTTTTTGGTTTGCAAGAAGAAGAAAATAGTTTTATGGTACATAATAAGTTTGGTAAGGCATACACACAAGGCATTCCTTTGATAATAATCTACTAACACATTTACTGTGTTAATAGTAAAAAAGCAGCTCTACATCACACAAAACATGAAGTATATAAAAGAATGTGCTTACCATGTACCTGAACATATTGTTACTCCTTGACTGAAAGAACACAGTCAATGTTTCTGATAGAGCAGTGTATGATATTTTCACAGGAGATATAATGAACCTCTAGAGTAAAATATATTTATTCCTATAAGCCTCTTGAATTTAGGGTAAGCAATATCCTATCCCTACTTTATTAATAATCATGCACAAAGCTGCTAAAAATCACACAAAGTAACTCTTGTCATGTTGAGAATAAAGGCAGGGTTGGAAGCAGGGGAGTTGTTTGCTCTATAAAACAAGTTTATATTCAGTCACAACACTTCTCTATAATGGCCAAACATGAACAAATCTTATACAAAGTAATTCAACTTGCCATTTCTTATGAAACAGTTTTACTCTCAGCAGTTAAATACACCTTACTATACCATTTAAAGACCCATTTCCCAGTGAAACAAAGCTTATGTCTTTCCTGTGCACCAGTACTTTTTCCCCTGCATTCCTTCTAAAAAGTATGTGACCTTGACCAAACCCAATTAGATATGACAGAGAGATCGAGGTCTCAAAGACTTGTTAAAAGAAGTTGAGAAGAGCAAAAGGGAGATGAAGAGAGCTCTGCTCTTTATGAGGAAAGGTTGTAGTGTGAATGCAACTTTATCACCAGGTACCAGGGAACATGTGATACCAAGAATGAAAGACACAGAAAAAGCAGACCATCTGTGATCCACTGCTCATAGAACTTGTTGTTTTCATGAGTTCTTTCATTGGTCTTAGGTAACTGTTGTTTGTAAAGCTATATGCTTGCTAGCTGTATTTTCCAAGACTTTGGCAATAGCAACTCACCAGCAGTATTGGGTGCACAGCTTTCAGTCGAAGCCACTTGAAAAGTGTCATCCAAAGTTCAGGAGAGCACACACCAAATGCAGCAAGCATGCAAACATAAGGTGTCCATAGATATTTCATTCTGAAAAACACTGCAATAACTTAGTTGGGACCCTGTGTATGCCTCTGTACTCAAACTATTATAAAAGAATTCAGATTTTTTTTCTTGTGTCAAACACACTCTGGATGTTCAAACAATCAGAGGTCAACTCTGATGTACTGGAGGGTAAACACCAAGGAAATCTCTAGCAGAACAGCTGGCACCTCAGAGTGCTTGAGATGGAAGAGCAAGATCCAAGGTAAAAGATTACAAAATCCTTCAGAGAGTTCAGGGGAGGATGAAAGAAAAACAGAGAATAGTAAAGTCACTTGGCTGTTGTGGTTTTCCAGCCAAGAAGGGATAAGAAGCAGCTATTTGGAAAAGCTGTACAGACAATGTACTACTGTAAGGGAGCTCTTGAAGAAAGGAAAGGAAAATATTTAATTAACAATTTATGATTTGCTGGTGCTGTCCACCTCTTAAGGGTAGACTAGGCAACTTAGAACAACTACAGGATAACACAACTGTCTGCTCACTTTAAGCAATATTTGTGAATATTTAGATTTTAGGATGAGGAGCCTAATAAACACACAAGCCTGACATCTTCAAGCTGATTAAGCTGAGAAACAAGATTAGAACAATAATGTCTTCCAAACATCAGCTTCTCTAGCTTTAAGGACTAACACAATACTTTTGAAATTAGTTCTGCTACTGCTTTAACATGTCAAGCAAAGGTACATTTCATGGTAGCCTACACACAAGAAGACAGATAAGAAATCTTCCATGTCCCAATATTCCAGCAGTATTCTGTTCATCAAAACACTACATAAACTCTTATTAAAAATAATTGCAGCACAGTTCTACACTTAAATACCATAAAGAATGTCATTAAATGTGATTCAATTAATGTCTTGGATCTTGCTGCATTAAAGATTGGAAAACGTGTTAAAGAGACCAAGCACAAGTGTTCATATAATCATATCCAATTTATAATCAAAATTACCTTTGACTACTCCCAAGTAGTATTACTATATGCCAAAATTATTTCCAAAAAGGAGTGAATTTCAAAGGGGTAAACAGCATATCAGGTCCAGTACAGAACTCTGTTGCTTTCAAAAGAGATGCATCAAAATCAGACTTACCCTTCCAAACACATCGCTAGACAACCAAGCAAAATTGTGTGAATTACATGATAAACTATTTCTGGCCTCTCTCCAATTCGACCATCCTCAAGTTTAACTGTCTCTTTCAGTGGTTCACCACTGCAGTTGGAGAAAATGAGACATCACTTAATTCAGATATTATCCCAGGAAAAGGTGCCAATAAAAATATTTTTAAGTCAGTAGTGCACTGAGATCATTCCACATTATAGCATATAATATTGTTGCACTGTTTACTTGCTTTTTGTACTTGATTAATGACCTATCAGTATCCACTGTCCCTTGTTTTAGATTGCAACCTCTCTGGAGCAAATTAATACAATGGGATCACACTGTCTATGACCATAAATCTTACTTTATGGTAATTCAGCACCAAGACACAGTCTAATTTAAGAGCATAGACAATCTACAAACATTTAGACGAATCATGCTGAACATGCATTTTAAGTTCCTTTATAGCATTATCTTGGTAAAGAATTATGGAATCTGTAGGATGATAGTTGTGTATGGAATGTGTGTACAACAAAGATGACAAAAGTAGCTTTTAGTCACATTATTATAAATTCTAGTAATATATTATAAATAAAAATCATAGTCAAAATCTTGCAATGGAAGGTTTTCTACTAACAAGATAGCAAGGCACAGAATAGATAACAATTCTTTCTACCATTATGTGATTTCAGGTTATATTTTTATAATAAGCTTCTTTATGAAAATTAAAAAAAAAAGAGATTATTAACTGATTCAAAAATGTTAAAAAAAGAGAGAGGAGAAGGTTTATTTTATTCTTTTCTTTAAAAAGGTGTTGAACATAGTGCAGTCACTGCTCATTACAAAGTAATAAATAATTATTTCAATCACTATCAAACAATAAGAAGTTTGTTCAATTGTTCTGGATATCCTATCACACACCCAACCTGACAAACATTTTAATTTATAGCAGCATAATCTTTATCTGTTAAAAGTCTTCATCCTTGAAATAAATCTACTGATTTTTGCTGCAGACAAGTGAGATTTTTTTTCCCGTATCTGAGCAGTTACACCATTCATCTTCTACCAGGAAGAGACAATTTCCTAACCACTGAGTTTCCAAGACAACTTATGCTAGGATCTACAGTATCTTAGTATATCTTGGTATTCTTAGTCTTTTTATAAAGACAGTTCCACTATCCCTTCTCTCAAGGGAACTGTGAATCACTGAAACTAAAACTAATTGAGTCAGTTTTACTTCAGTTCTGTTCCAAGCAGCAAAGGCTAGTGGACCTTATCACAGTAAACAAGTGTTTTAAAAAACCAACAGTGGAGCATTAGAAATCCAAAGTCCTCTCTGCTCCACCCATCTCATCTTTCTCAACATGTAAACTTGAAAAAAAAACCAAAAATCCCAAATCCAAAACTAATTCTAGCAACAATTAGGTAACTTTGTTGTTGGAAGGAGAATTACAGATATAACATCTTTCTCTTGCGTCATACACAAAAAGTAAACATTAGCCAGAGCTCTGCAGGAACTGCACCTGCAGGGAAATAAACCAATGAGAATTCTCTGTTCTGACAGGAGGGGTGCTCAAGAACCTCCTTAAGGGACTTTTCTTTATGATCCTCTGGTGGGCCTTCCCACCAGTGCTCACACTCTGACAAGGTCAATGGTACAACAAACTTTGGAGCAACAAACATGATGAGCATTCCCTGAGGCAACCAGAAGCCTCTTATTTTTAATCATTTTTCATATAAACAAGTTACTTACCAAATTCTCCTATAAACGACCTGAGTTACAGAAAAAAGGCAGATAATTAATACTAAAATATAAAAAGGCAACAGTGATGACTGTGTTAGTCGCAAAAAAAAGTCTTGGGAGGGTGCCTGAAGAGATTCTTGACAAAGGAGCCAATTCATTGTAAAATTCCTAGTAAGGCAAAAACATTCCATTAAAAACAATAACAATAGCCCATAGATTATAAAAGAAACCAACAACCCAGGACAAAACAATAGAAGTTTAACCTATTCATGTCATAGGAAACTACTTGAAATTCATCTTTGAAAAGTTACCTTTTCATCATTTGAAACTGCTTTGAAAATACTCTTAGATTAACTGTCAAATGTTTATCTTCCCAAAAAAGTATCTGTGATCTGAAGAGACCAGACTTAGAAGTCCTTTATATCACAAAAGCCCAACCTCCCATATAACTCCGTTATGGGGACTAAAAGGATCTTGTCACAGTGGATTAAGATTTTAGAGATATTGATGAAAGAAGGTATGCTTGTCCTCATTCCAAATAAGGAGAAGAAGGGAAAGTGGTCATCTGAGATCACAAAGAAGCCTGAGGCTCTGCCAGGAATAAAATCCTTAATGTTGAAATTCTAGTTTTGTAGCTGAAGCCACTTGATCATTCTTCTTTCTCAGTTAGCAGCAGGAAGATAATACACTCTGCCAAGAAGCACTGTAAGTGTGTATTTTCAACTGGAACTGGTGCAGCATGTGGTGCTGTGAATGCATTCTTGTCTTTGTTTTGCTTTCCTCTTTCTTCTCATTTTCTCCCAAAGGAAGACTAGAGGACAGAACCACTTTCAACTAGACAGAATGAGTTTAAAGATTAACAGCTGGGCATGTCCAAACTGGCCTTATAAGACAGATCTTGAAGCTCTTGTGCTGCAAATCATAATTCCAATACACAGTTACACAGTGTTCCAGGCGTAAAGGGACCCAGTTTGTCTCAATCTCTGGCTTCATTGCAGTCTGACAGCCTGAAAAGTGACATTTAGCAAGGCCCCAGGAGGAAAAAGGGAAATCCATTAATACCTGGGAGCTGAATAAACTGAAATCCTGACCAGGAGTCCTTTCTTTTCTTGCAAAACGCTTAAGAATGGGTATGTGTGTATGTGTTAAACAATGCATCATAGTCACTATCACTACATCCTGTCTTCCAAAAGTTCCCCAACAGTTTCAGTTGGGTGTGATGTCATTTTCAACTTATTCCCCTGAAAGGCTGTGAAGTAGCTTTTTTGTAAGAGACATACAGCTCTTTGGAGAGAATTCCAAATCCTGCACAGAACTGCAAGCCTTGGCTTGGGTCCAGGAGTGTGTCAGTCCTTACTAACACTCCATTGGAAGTCTTCCAGAAAATCTGTTGCCATGACATCTTCTTGCAGTCCAACATCCAACTCTTTTACAGATATTAATGTTTTTTCTTAGAATCACAATTCCCTGTGATTTTTAAGATGTCCCTTGTGTTAATTTCGTCCAAAACATACAGGGAGTATTGAGGGTAGCCACAACCCAAGCCCCTTTTGAGATAGTATCAATAGTTCATGACTTTCCAGTGCCTTCTTTTCCAGGCTATAAAAATCTGGTACTGCCACCTTTAGCCTATTATCTTTGCTTTCAAGTCTTATTAGAAACACTAGACAGGATACAGAAAGTTTTCACTCTCCAACATCACAAGAGAACGAAAATTCATGAAATGCTTTCACCCCAAGGCATGAAAAATATTGAAGTGCTTTGGAAACCTCAATACCCTAAGTAAATTCTGTATGTGCATTTTTTTTTTTACTTCAACCTTAAAACTAGACAACAAATAATTATTTCCCTATCTCCTCTACAAAACTCTCACAAGCAACTGAAATGTTACACTTCTCAGAGCAGTTTCAAAAGTTTGGATATCTTGGGAGGTGTAAAGAGTTTAAATAAACTTACTTAGTTGTGTTTAAGCCAAGTTTTACTTCAATGAACTTCAGCAAATGCTCATTTTCTTTATGAGGAATGAACATCTGAAAATTAATTTAGCAGAGAAAAATCATAGGAAATGCTGGAAGCAGTTTTCACACAGTCATTCAGATTACAAAATGTCAGGTAATAATCAACTGTTTAAGATTTAGTTAAAACTAACAAAATTGATTAAGTGTGCCAATTAAGGTACTAGTATAGTATTGTAAACCTTCACTTCAATAAATCTATATTTAGGGTTTTCTTGAGAATGTTATTCCTTTCATGCCACTCCCATACCACAACAGGAGGACGAATAAAAAGCTGCCAATAAGTTGTCAAAAGACTACTAAGCAGGGTAAAAAGGATCATGAAAAACAGACTTGCTTTCAAGCAAGCCTAAGAGTGCTGTGCTTGGCTCCACCAGAAAATAGGATTGCAGCTGAGCAAAAGTCATGAGCATTTGTAATCTTCACACAGATTGTCTGAGCTGCCTGAAGTTCTGTAACTTACTCATAACTGTAATCTAACTCATATTTTTCAAGATTAGATTTTATTTTCCTAGAGATACAGCAAGGCTAATCAGGCACAAGAAAATAATTACATGTGTGTGTGAACATTCCTTCAAGCCTTCTAGGATTCAGCAGTTTCTTTACTTTTAAGTTAATACTGCTAATTAACACAACCATGGCGAATTGAGACAGAGAAGAAAAGCACAACAATATGTGTAAAAGGCCAGCAAGAGGGAATTGCTAGTCAAAATACAAGACCAGGCTAAAATCCCACTGCGTAATCTAAACTGACTCCTACAGAAAGTGAAAGCCTCTGTTCCTATGTTCTACTTGAATTGTAATTGAAAATTAGTACCTACCCTAGGGCTACTCATACTTGTTCCTGGGTATTGTGTTGCCATGCACAAGAATACTGTTTTAATATTCAGACTAGTCTGTAGAGGCCATTCAAGTTATAACAAATTCCATATTTATAAAATAGATAAAATGTCTTTTAAAGAGTATTACTATACTGTTTCAACCCAGAAGACCAAAACCCCAACAAGACCAAGCTGTTTGAGTTGCTGCAAAATGACTCAATTTTTAGTGCTCATACTGACTGTGAATTAAGCCATGAACTGTCATAAGATAAGCAACACTTCAAAAGATTTTTTCAAGATATATCTGCAACTTTCCATTTAGATTCTGAAATTAAAATCACATTTTCAGAGGAATCTTACCTTTAATAAGAAGTTTAGTGTCACTGCTACTGTAAGTACCAAATAAATATACATTATTTTCAGCAATCTTGACACAAATGTACTTTTTTTCATATTCATCTGCAAAAATATTTAAAGAATGCTGTATCATTCTGGAGTTCAGTTTAAATTTTGAAACTACACTCAGGGTTAGAAGAAAGTCTAGTTACCTGAAGGGATTTGGAGAGCATTAAAGCTACCACAAGACTCAGTAATGGTGACACTAGTAAGGCTGAATTTTCAAACTGCAGAAGGTACCCCACAATGAGAGAAAACAGGTAGATTCTGTATACCTCATGCACCTGTTGAAGAAAAAAATAAACAATAAAATAAAACTACAGTGGATATAAATCCTGCTTTTTAGAGCAGTAGATAGCTCACTTCCTCTGTTCATCAGGGCATTAACAGATCTCAATCCTTCAACTCATATGTCTAGCAGGGTTCCATTTGGCTCTGGAAAGCATTGCACATGAAAATGATCCTGATCAGCCTCAGCAACTAATGGGCAATTACTTCACATGAATTCTGTAAAAATGCCGAAGCAGGAGCATTTTACCAGGTCTCCCCATTCAGTAACACCTCCCTGTGATGCAGCACAAAGCAATAACTACAAGGCACCAGTAAGAACACACAATTTGTGACAGAGGTCACCTGCATACAGGTGCTTTCCTTGCCCTCAGAATAACCTGTTCATTAACCTGCCTCATGAACAAATACTCAGACTGTTATCTATACTTGCTGTTATTTACTATTTGACAAGCAGATCCTATAAACCTTGATGCTTGATTCTTCAGACTTTTACCAAAACACCCATTTTCTCCCTTATACACTCTGCTTTCAACTACAACAGATCAAACATTTCCAACTGCTGAGGAACAGAATAAAAAGAAACTGAGAGAAGAGATGAAGAATTAGAATCACATGCAGTTTGATATTTAATAAAACCAGAAGGCATGCATATACAAAGGAGCATATATACAACTGCAACAGGCAGAACAAAAATGCCTTATTGTTGCAACATTTCTAGGAACCATTTTGCAGAATAAATTTAAATACTTTCTTGCATTGAAAAATCAATTGGCCTTCAACATCTGTCTAGTCTATTTATTGGCAAATTAGTGCAGGTCAGGCCAATGAGGGTGAAAGTGAGCCCTTTAAGTGCACAGAGCCAACAGAGCACTTCTTTGGTCTGCCCACTCTGCTGTGAATAGGAAAAAGAAAAGAAGAGGCAGCTAGGCCAAAACGGAGGACTATCATTCATCAGTCTTTTAGCTCTCCAAGGATGTTTCAGGTCTCAGCAGCTTTATTTAGCTTCTATCCCAAAGACAGCAGGTCAAAAGAGACTCAGTTTAAAGTTATTTTATTCTTCTGATGGATATCATATGCACTTCAGCTGAGCCCATGCTGCAAAACACTCATTACTCAGTCTCTGGTGCCGTCTGGAGCTCCTGGGCAGTATGAATGGCAGGCACCTCAGAGGCTGCCTGTAAGTATCACTAGACTGAGAAGTTCCAATACCTTCTCTGTCTGTGCTAGGGCAAAGCTGTCTAGCAGGAAAAGAGAAACAGCCTGGACAAACAGGAGATAATGACTGTATTCCCACATCATCACGAAGGTATATGTTGAGGCATTCACCAAAAGATAACAAAACTTCTAGAAGAAAAAAGAAAAGAAAAAGCATTAATTTTGTACCCATGCATGTCTGTCACCATGTAACTGAGAGGTCATTAAAACATAAACTATGGAAATTAATTATTATTCTGGGAAATAATTAAATTACTGACTTCAGATGTGCTTAACTTTCAGATGGAAGAAAGCAATTACTGAAATATTCAAGAACATTTCAAGACAATCAGAAGAAACATTTTTGAGAGTCAAGGTAAGAAAGTAAAAACCATCTTCTCAAGAAAAACAGTTTACATAAGAAAAATTCTGCCTCATTAAAAAAAAGGTCTATTATCACACTGTTCTCTCTGAACCCTCCTGGGGGCATAACAAGGTAGGCACAAGTTGCTTAGCAAAAACTGCACATGCCTAGGTGAAATCCAACTGGATCTTTTGAAAAGAAGAAACAAAACATCTACTGTTTTCTGCCCAGAAGGGCAACAATAGCAGAAGTAACTACCCTAGAGTACAGTTTTACCAGCAGCTTTTTATAAAGAAACTAATTTTACTTTACCTCAGCAGAACAGTTTAGGTTCTTTTTTAAATAGCCTGTGAGAGCTGCTACTTGACATGCAAAATATGGCAAAGCCCAATTTTCTCTAGATGGTATGGAGTAATCAATTCTTGTTGTATCTGTCCTAGAATAAAGTACAAAGAAACAAAAACATTAAAATATGTATGGAACAAAAATATCAAGGAAAGCCTAAACGCCACTTCTAGTTGTAAATGTGGCCTTGCAAGCAAACTTTTCCTGATTTTGGTGCAAAGTAACACTGACTCAATTTTGCTCCTGATACAGTTCACAAATTTATTAACAGCATGGAAGGCCCAATCTTTACTCATCTATTTAGCACATTTCCATGTTAGCTGGCATTTATAGGACTGAAGCTAAAAAGCATCTGCCTTGAGCCTTTTCTGACCTGTAATGAAAATCAGCTTACAGCTGAGAGAAAAGAGTCCTTTCAGTTCTCATACAATATGTTTTAAAACAAGTGATTCAGGTAGTTGAGCACAACACACTTAGGATACAAACTGGTGCTTTCTCACAGCAGCAGCAGCAAATATTTCATCTACAGGGAAAAATTCTGCCCAGCAAAACAAGAGATTAAAGACGGATGGGGAGCATGCAGGGTTTTCTCATGGAATGACTTGACAGTATCCACACAATTAGAGGTGTAGGTGAAAGTTTTTAAAAGCACTAAAGTGACTCAGAAGTACAAGCCACACTTTCAAATGTGATCAAAGGCATCAGTCTCAGAGGTACATAGTCTTCTTTGTGTCTACTATGCCTTTAAAAAGGAGCCTCAAGCTCCTTTATCATTTAGGTATTTAAAAGCATCACCTTTCATTTTTCCCTCTGAAGCTTCTTACAGAAGCATATTCGGAGCTTTTTTAACTACTAGATTTTTCATTTTGTTGACACTGTTTAATATTATTCACTGTTGAAAAAAAATTACAGATTTATTCACCATTTTTCCTACTTTCCACTGTTCACACCAGCTTGATGAACAGTATTTTCAACTACTAATTACAGATTTTATCATGATGACTTCATTTTCCTAGAAGGTGCTTCCCAACAGTTCAACTTTAAAGGTATATCTCTAACAGTTTGATCCATAGTTCTTTTATTTCAAGTGCTGTCAAGTTCACAGAAAGCCCCAAGAGCTCCATGGTGACAAAACCAAGAGCATGAACATAGGTTTTCATTGCCCAAATGAGGTTCCCTATTATTGCAGTGCTTCCTAAGGGGAATTCCAAGTGAATTGTTTTAAAATAAAAAAAACTTGGTATTAAGATCATCTAAGAAAATTCCACTTTGCAGAAAAACCCATTACAAAAAGAAGATTAAAAAATTAAATATTCTTTACCAAATAAAATGCACTTGATCATTTCTTTCTATGCCACCAGACAACTGCCACAATATTTAGAGCTGGCCAGAGAGTGCAGTTCTGTTTTGGACATTAGTCTTCATTCTTCAATAGCACTAAACCAAACCAAACCAAACCTTCTAAGGAATATTTTTGAAAAATGAAATTGTGTGTGAATACTGCTGTATTCAGGCACATACATAAAGTCTGTTCAACTGGTAACACGGATTGTTTGGACAACAGGAGGCCTTTCCATTAAAAAAATCATCATGAGAATCAGTGAATCTCTTGGAAATGTTTTCTATTCACCATAAGATTTTGCTCTCACAGTGAGAACACAAAGCTCAATAAAATCATTTCAATCCACTAAATAAAATCACTTCACTAATATTTTAAAATGCCTTATTGACAAACTAGATTGTATAAAGATGTTTTTCTTACCTGTTAATAATGAACCATGCTACAGTCAGCATTCCTGCCAGCCAAGTCCCACTCATAACCCAACTGGTTACAAACAATGCAGTCACATAAATTCCCTGCAGTCCAAAAACTATACCAATGTAGAAATACACTGGTTCAATAACTTCCTGAAATTACAAATAAAAATGAAGAGACATAGTGGCAACTGAGCTGAAGCTGGAAATTATTACTATTTACAATTTGTTACTGCTAACAATGTGCTAGGTGCTTTACAAACAGGTAAGAGACGCCTCCTATTCTAGGAAAGTACTAGGCATGCTTTTATTTGGGGCTCAGGAAGAACAAAGCAGTGTGAATTAAGTATACACTTCACCACTCAGCTTGCCAGTGCCATGATTTTTGAATTTGCTTTAGCTTGAACACTCTATGTGTCAGATTTAATAAATCTATGCTGCAGTGGGATATAAAGTTCAAAGGACTACTAGAAGAAGTTATAAAATGGAAGAACTTGAAGAAGTAAAGATGTGGCAAAATAGTTCCAAAATAAGTAAATAATAAAAAAGGAAAGATAATGAGAGAGGACACAAGTATGCAGCATAAGCAGAATAAAGCCTGAGTAGAGTGGAAAGTGACAAAAGGTTAATCTACAGAAGTGTTTTTCCCTATAAGAATGGGCAGACAGGTACCACTATAACAGACTTCTGTACTCCAAAGGAATTAACTTTCCTGTTTTTAATGGATAGCACAGATACTCCTGACATTTCTAAGCAGTCTGCAGAAGTAAAGAATAACAGAAAAGGTTACTAGTTAGCATTAAACCCCAAAATGCTATGCCAGAGACTGATCAGAATTGAGGAAAACCTGGACCTGGTGAGAGCCTTAGCTCAACTCATTCAACAAAAAATGTAAGTGTTCATTGGATACAGCACAGAAAGTCTCATACACACACACACACATAACAACCACAATGAAAGTACAGAAAGTAGGAGAAATGCACATACTTCGCTACCAGATGCTTGATATAAAACACTGGCAATCAGCTCTGGGTACAAAGTCATTTGCTGGACAGCATTTATAGTCTTCAGTGATATTGTCTTATTGTTGTGTGTCAACTCATAAACACCTACAGACAGAAAAAAAATATTATTCTTGGAATCACTTACTACTCCTGTTCCTAAAAGAGGCTGAAGTATATTCAAAGGTAAGGGGAAACAGATTTGATCATTAAAGCTACTGACTGGTTCACCATACCTAGTTTTAAAGGAAGGAGAAATTTCCATGTTACATGTCATTCCACCTACTGATCTAGATAGAAAGTTATTACCCTTTTTTCATCTAGTCTTTAAATAGAAGGCCCAAAACTAATCATCTGAAACACAGTAACACACTGATGCAGTCCTGGAACTATTTGCCTATAGATCACCTTCACAGAAAGATCTTAAGGAGTGAGACAGATCTAACAGGGATGAGCAGGATATATAATCTCCAGAAGGATGTCAGGTATGATGGCCCTCATCATCCCTTTCAGCTCTGAATTTCTGATTTCTAAGAATCATTCACCAAACAGTGTGCCTTTTTATAGGGTTAAAATGGAACTGAAGGATCAATCCAAGAGCATTCCAAAATGTTATAAAGACTTGTCAATACTTAGGACAATAGGGGGAAGAGCAAAAACAATCCAAATCAAGACAAGAAGGAGAACAAAAGGCTCAAAAACAATGCAACAGTCAAACCAAACAACTGTTTCCAGCTCTGAGCATATCTTGGGTGTATGGTCTGCAGTTAGTTATCTGTAGGCCAAACCAAGTCTTTCAGGATTTTAACTGGGTTCAGCACAGCTGTAATGCACTCTTGAAGACTGGATGCTTTGTAATACCTCGCAGACATGAGTCTACCTGTTTGCAGAGACAGTGTCCCTGCTCGAGGCATGCAGTCCATCCACTGGCAGCATGGCAATATCCCCAAAGGTCATGAGGCACTGAGTGTACCAAAGACCTCAGATATTGCTGATGTGCTACATTTCAGCTGGGAAACTGTTCAACCAATAAAATGCTAACCACAAAGTTTAGTTCTACTAGCTTCAGTGAGCTTTCACAAAGGGACTGAACTAATTCAGTGGCTGACCACTGCAAGATAGGACAGTTCATCCTCTTCTCTCCCAAGTTCTAGCCCCATGCTAGTGCAGTGCACTTCTGAACTCCCTGAACAAGCATGGAAGTGCTCCTTCTTTTCACTGCTTTAGTTTCCTTTTGGTTTAGGGACCCAGGGTCAGTAACCCCCAGAGTCAGTGCCAGATAAAGAGCAGGAGCACAAAGGAAGGAGATCATTGTCACTCAGTCTGTTCTCCTCCCTGTTGCTTTCTGTCCCCACCACTCAGTGCTCATCAGGATCTATTCATCACAGCTGACAAGAGTAAAAACTTCTGGCAGGGACAGGACAGAGCAGATCAGCTTGTGACAGAAACTGTTCTCTCTTCTGACAGAGGATGGAAAACAGTAATTTTCACCCCTCATTCCCAAATTCAACTTAAATTATATTTACATGGCAGAAAATCCACTATTGTGACACATGCAAACCCAACGATAAGTTTGATACAGGACATCATAAGAGTAAGATTACCCTATCCCAGAGTATTGATTAAAGGCAATCTGCTGGAACACAGGATAGTTAAATAGTGTTTTCGAAAAGGCACTGAAAAGTTAGGACAGCATGTGTTTTTTGATTAATCTGACCAATATACCTACATAAGAGAATAAAATTAGTCTCCCAGTCTGCAGATTTTTACTGTCTCCAAAGAGAACAGGACTTTCCAAAGTTAATAAAATAAATGAGTTTTGTACCTCTTTCAAAGGAAGGAGCCTTTAGCAGTTCTTTATAAAATGAGTAATAAATGGCACTGTCACCCTGAAATGTAATTTCTCGTTCAAGTTCCTAGAAAAAAAGAGAAAAATTAATCTCCTGCAATCTCTTTCCAGAGAAGACAATATATTTTCAGATAGACCGGTTTTGTAACATGGTACATGGTTATGACTTCACTGTACATCTTCAAAATATTCCACAAAACATTAATCTTCACAGCATTTCTATCAGATACATAAGGCTCTCTGTAACTTAGCAAACATGCTCGGTAGCAGAGTAATTCAAATCCACATTGTAAGTCAGCACAAAATCCACAGGATCTTTTCATATTCACAAATCTGAATTTCATTCAACTTTCTATACTTCACTTAATAATAGAGTTCTTAAGAAAACAAAACCAAACCAATCAACAAAAAACCACACCCCCCAATCCCAAAACAAACACAAAAAAACCCACTCCAAAAAGCCCAACACATATTCCTGTTGATTAGTTTCTGCAATCCCAGTATGCTTCAGTTATTTTTCCATATTTTAGAAAGGTATTTTAAGAATAAAGGGTGGCATGGTAAAACACAGAAAAGCAAGACAAGCCATGACGACTGTTAGCAAGAGGGGGAAAAAAAGGAAAATAAGACAAAAAAAGAGAAGCTGTTTCAAAGACAGAGGCCTCAGTAGAAGAACACATGATTCTGCAAGTAGTTTCAACATGACATGGATCAGATTTGATTTCAAGGACACAATCTGGCTTTTGTTGCAGTAGTTTATCTTTACCTGCCTGCTGGAAAACCAGAATTTCCGTTCATGATATGTTGAGAGGTACACAGCATACATCATTCCACTGGTGACTGCCGCGAGACAGCCAAAGAAAAGCTTTGCAAAACGCTGGATTAACATATCTGAAAATGAACAGTGCAAAAAACTAAAATAGTCCAGAAGACTGAGAAACAAACAGTACCTCCTACACGACTCTTATTTGTGAACAACAAGCAAACTTAATGGCATGAGAATTATCACACCATCAGCAGCACAGATACACTGAAAACTGGTTTGTTACTCCTGTCCTGTAGTTTTCTTTCTCAGTTGTTATCATTGCTTCACAGGACCTTGAGACAAAATACTAACACGCTACACTGCAAATTTTCCCCAGCAAGCTTTGTTTTCGAACGAATTCCAAGAAGTTTCAGAAAAGCCTCTTCCAGATAAATAGAGCAAACTCTACATTCTACCCAAAACACCACAAACTTCTGACATAATTTCTGAGACATTCTATTTTCCATTCTGTTTTTGAATATAAGAACAGACGAATTTGAATTGCACCAAACTCATTCAAAGGATGTCTACTTCATCTATAGCTCCTTCGAGTTAGTATGTACTTTTAACATAAAAGCTTTTGGTAGCTTGGTGAGCACTTGCCGAATATTATACCTAGTTTTAGTTCTGTTTCTTGAAAAGCTGTAAGGACTTTTTGTCTGTTCTTGTTTCAGTACCATTACCTCATGCGTATCAGCTTCCAACCAGATCATTCCAGGAGCAATAAAAATATTTATTTGTATGCAAATAGTAACAGTGAATTTCTTAACTCTCCTGCCTCTACTTCCCCTCCCCAAGCCTGAAACAGCCCAAGACTACCATTTCACTCTCCAATACATAAAATGTTATTATTAAAGAACTCTAATGTGCATGCCTGTTTTCTCTTGAAATATTAAAAAACCTAATTCACAGTAAGTCTGTTATGAATTACTGTGCTACAAATATCTTCCCATAAAATGTAAGAGAATAATGAAAAAAACAATCAAAAGTCAGCTAAAAATTCTGTAGCTTACATTTTGGCGACCTTCCCAGCTTTGAATTTTCTTTGTTTCTCTCCTCTGGAGCCATTTTGTCAGATTCTGTGCAGTTTTGTTTCTTTCGCTGTCGCAGGTCTGCTGCCCCTGAAGACATTTTTTTTTTAAAGTTAATGCAACACTATATCTAAAATCACACTGGGAAATCCACACAGCAGCAGGTAGCAGCCAGTTACTGCTACTGATTCAATCCCATGTAAGATGTATTTGACAAAGTCTCAACTGAAGTATGTCATATGCTCAACTAAAATAACAATATAACACTACAAGAATCAATTATTATGTTAGTCCTTCGAAAAAATAACAGTATTCTCTTGAGGCCATACTCTGGGATAAATCAGAATCCAAACTGAAAGCTAACTGGTTTATTCCATTTGGTGAACACAAATTAAGGAAATCAGTAGTTTAGATAAATTGACACAGACACTGGGTGAAACTGGTGCCAACTCTCATCCTGGTTTTATGCTGCTACAGCAGCGTAGTACATAAATTGGGCTAGTCTATTACTTTTAAATTGAGATGCCTATTATTTATATGGCAAAGGCTTTTATAAAGTAAATGTAATATCACTTTTTTCCTGCTTTTGGATCTCCTGGAACTAAGCAGGTTTACAAATATTTAGTCTAACATATAATTAAAAAGCCCAGTCTGCTCAGCCACATAGATCACATCACAAAACCAAGGGCTTCTGCTAACTTTTTTTTGTGAGCAGCAGCAGTTTGAAGTCCTGGTCCACTTATTTTACAGTGTGAAAGACAACAAGGCTAATTCACAGACTGCAAGTCTACATATAAAAAGATTCATTGCAAAAAGTATTTTATAATTCCTATATTAAAGATACCCCACAATATTTATGTCATTCAGTAGTGTAATGAAAAGTTTTAACTGTAATTAACACTCCAGAATTTTTACCTCTCCTGTTTGATGTACTGTCCAACATTGCTTGAAATTTTGCAGCCACCAATTTTCCTCTGGACTTAAAACAGCTCTTTCATAACCATCCAACCATCCAAATCCATCCAGCTTCAAACTTGAAGTGTCAATCTTCACACCCCACAACAAAGCTTTTAAGTACTCTGGTTGTATATTACTTCAATTCTAATTCAGGCTAATTTTAATTCCCAGCTATTAGATCTTAAAGTTAGAAACTAGAGATAGAAATATAAATGGTTAAAGTGATGTCTACCTGGACCAGGACACCAGTGTGTTAACAGAGCAATTTATAAATCATTCTGAACAAACCAAAATCTCAATGGTAAAATTTTTCATGGAATGAACAGAAAATTACTACCTTCTTAAACAAGACAAGACCTGGAAAGATTCTAAACAACACAAGGTTTAGGGTGTTCAGTATCACATTTATCATCATGTCAATCCAGAATGAAATGTATACCAGCATCTCTTCATGACATGTATATGAGAAGTTTATCAGAAATGCAAACACCAAGTGCACTGCAGTTAAAAATCACCTGTACCATGCAAAACAAAACACGGTGGGAGAAAACCCTAGATCACAAAAGTGGGCAGATACGTGCTTGGAAGGACAACTGAGTGCCCCTGTCATTCTAGTTATGACCAAAGTAACAGCACTGAGAACACTGGGGGAAAAGGCCTTCGCTTCTCCGGCAGAGAAGTGAACCATAGCAGAAGTGTAACAAACTTAGCAAGTATAGCACTAACAGCCGTAATAGAAAGCTCCCAAAGATGTAACAATTTAAAATTCTACTTCTGAAACAACATCTCAATCAGCAAATGATCTTCACCTCGGTTTTGAAGACTGCTCAACACACTCCCCCCCCCAAAGCTGTAACACAAAGATGTGTATTACTTCCGTTTCTTGCTGCTGCCACAAACAAGGAAAATGCTGTTTTCACTTCAATGAATCCTTCCCAGAGAGTGAAATGAAAGTCAAACAAGCTAACAACTAAGAATTATCTAGAATTTTGAACTGATGACACAGCCTCTGGTAACTCTCCCTTCAGCACATAATTTTTCATCTGGTTTTCAGTTCCCTGTAAGTCCCCAGTTCAAACAAGTTCTTTTTCAGAAAACAGGCAGTCCACTTATTTTTGTATTTCTAGTGCAGAAAAACATAACTCGTTCCTACTTTGTGCCACTATACTCATCTACTTTCCTAATCTACCTACTAATTGAGCACTGTCTGTAGTCTTTTCATCTAAAGAAGGATAAGATAGAGGTGGGAAACATTCATAGAAGGGCCATGAGGGTGATTTCAGTTGTGTAATGACTCCCACACAAGGAACGGGGAAGCAAATTGAAGATGCCTGTCTAGAAAAGAGGATGACCAACAGAAACATGCCAGACGTCTACTAGTTAGTGAAGTGCACGAACACACTGAAAAATGAGCAGTGATTCACCTTTTCTAATATGAGAAGTTCTCAAACAAACCTAGTGAGTCAGGCTACAAAGAACCAGCTCATTGCACATCACCTTCATGCAGAACACTCCTACCCAAAGAATGTTCTGTAAACCAAGAGTTTGCACAGATTTATAAAACGGACAAAGCTGTGAAGGACAAGCAACTGGAGACTCCTAAACATACAGAAAGCATGTGCAACTCAGAAAGTACTCCTGCTGAGAACAGCTGGGAGGCTGGAATACGCCATGAGACAGATTTGCATATGCTTGTTTTGCTCCTGCATTTTTCTGGGTGCTTATTAACAGTTGTGTTTCTGCTGATTTCTAAACGCCATTTCCTACCCACTACAGACGGGGCTTGCACTGAAAAGACATGGAGAAAAATGCTTGTGTACACAGAATACCCTGAGTTGGAAGGGACCCGTAAGGATGATCCAAGTCCAGTTCTTGACCCTGCACAGGCCTCCTCAATAATCACACCATGTGCCTGACAGCACTGTCAAAGCACTTCTTGAACTCTGTCAGGCTTAGTGCTGTGTCCACTTCCCTTGGGAGCCTGTTCCAGTGTCTAAATACCCTCTGGGTAAGGAACCTCATCCTAATACCAACCCAAACACCCCCCATACGCAGCTTCAGGCCATTTCCTCGGGTCCTGTCACTGGTAACCACAGAGAACAGATCAGCATCAGTCCCTCCTCTTTCCCGCCTGAGCAAGCTGCAGAGTCCGATGAGGTTTCCGTCAGTCTTGTCCAGGCTGAACAAACCAAATTCCTTCAGCCGCTCCTCATAGTTTCCCCTTAAGGCCCTTGACCACCTTCGTAACCCTCTTTTGGATGTTCTCTAATACTTAACGAAACGGGAGAGAAGACTGACAAAAACACACGGAAGGATGCCAAAGAGAAAGTACACTCACAGAGGCATCCACGGAGCCCACAGATGCTGCCCCGGGCGCTCTGCCCAGACACAGTGTCAGGCGAGGGAAGAGAAAAAGACCCCATGTCCCCTAAAGACGGGCCCGGCCTCCCGCTTGGGGCTGCAAAGCACGGGGCTGCCTTGGGCTGCGCTGGGGCCTGAGGGGCCGCCGGGGCGGGCTGGGCCCGGGAGCCCGCCCGTGTCCTGAGCCCGGTGTTTCACCTCCGTCCGTGCGCGGTGGCCCCGGCACGGCCCTGGCACAAACCGCGAGGGGCGGCCACACCGCCGGCCTGAGCCAGCGGCCTGGCCCCGACCGCCTCCGCCCGGCCCCGGCTCCGCGGCCTGAGGAGCCGCCCCTCACCTTCCTCCATCGCCGGCCTGTGCCCGCCGCCCGCCGCTGGGTCCCCCCGCCGCTCTCCGCGGGGCGACGCGTCCGCCCCGCCCGCGCCGCCGCCGCCGCCCGCCTCCCGCCGGCCGCGGGGGCGGGAGTGCTCCCGCATCCCCCGGCGAGCGGAGCGGAGCGGAGCGGCCCCGCGCTTCCTCCCACCGCCGGAACTGCGGCTGCGGAGCGCGGGGGGCGGCCGGAGCCGAGCGGCGGCGTACGGGGCACGGTGGGCGTACCGGGACATAGCGAATGTACGGGGATACAGCGAACGTATTGGGGCACAGGGAACGTGCCGGTACCCAGCGGGAGTACCGGGACACAGCGAATGTACGGGGGTACAGCGAACGTACCGGGGCACAGGGAATGTAGAGGGGCACTGGGAACTTGCCGGTATACAGCGGGAGTACTGAGGCACAACGAATGTACGGGGGCATAGCGGGCGTACCGAGGCACCGCGAACGCACAGGGCACAGCGAATGCACCGGGACACAGCGGGAGTACCGGGACACAGCGGGAGTACCGGGGCGCTGCCGGGCGGCGCCAGGGCTCCCTCCCCGGCGGGAGCTCCGCGCCGCCGCCGCCCGCCCCCAAGGCGGCACCTCCTGGGCAGCGCGGCCCGTCCGTGCCGCTGCCGCCTGCCCGCCCCGCTCCGCAGGGACCGGGCGCCTTCGGAGAGGCCGCGGGGCCCCAGATCAGCTTGGACAAGACGAGGCTCAGGGGTGACCTTATCGCTCTCTGAGATGACCTGAAGGGAGGCTGTAGCCAGGGGAGCGTCGGTCTCTTTTCCCAGGCAGCCAGAGAGAGGATGAGAGGACATGGCCTCAAGCCGTGCCAGGGAAGGTTTAGGTTGGACATCAGGAGGAATTTTTTCACAGAAAGAGTGATTAGACATTAGAATGGGCTGCCCAGGGAAGTTATGGAGTCACTGTCCCCGGAGGTGTTTAAGGAAGTACCAGACGTGGCACTTTGTGCCAGGGTCTAGTTGACTTGTGGTGTTCGGTCAGACATTGGTCTCGATGAGCTTAGTGGACTTTTCAGTTTTAATTGATTCTGTGATTACAGAACTGGCAACACTTCTATAGGAGAGATTTATGGGAATTGCCCCTTAGAGGCTGCATGTCTCCTGACCTGCAGTCAGGCCAGTGGCCGATCAGCTGCTGGAAAATTGATTGCTTGTCCAGCGGCTGCAAGGAAAAACTAAACCAATATGTGTGTCCTGTTGGAGTGTAAAATGAGACTTATATGTTTCCTGGATTTTTAAATAAAATCTAAAATACTTCTGCAGTTGTTGATTTATTGGATAGTGAAAGGAGTTGCATATGTTTTTAATGATCCACAAATTATCCATTGCATTTCTAATGCATTGTGTTTGATCTGGGGTTTTTTGTTTGTTTGTTTGTTAGTTTAGGTTTTTAAACTTACTAGGATAAGCAACAATAATCATTACAATGAAAAGAACAGTAATTGTTTTAAATATTTGCACTCAGACCATCAGTGCATGGACAGACATAAACAATTACTCAATTGTGCTCTAGATGTTCTTTTTTCTTAAGCCTTTTTGTACCTGCTGTTTTATAGTGTATTTTAGTGTTTTATAGTTGCATTTACTATGCAACTTCAGTTTTCTACTGATCCTCCAACATAGATCATACCACACCTTGATTTCAGTAAAATTATAAATGTACATCAAGTTATTTACATGTATAACTGCATAGTTAGCAGAGAAGTGAAAAATCCAGTCTGCTCACTCGATTTTAATTTTTGCTAAGGAAAAAAATTACACGTTTGAAGGTGGGAGAACCAAAAATCATTTTTCATGCAAGTTTCTTTCTCCCAGAATGAATATGCTGAAATAATTGTTAAGGTAATATTGAAAATGTTATTACTGTTGCACTTCAACCTTCCAAAATGCTTTCTGTAACTGATATTATATGAAAGTTATTTCATTTGACAGCTTATTAAGTGCCCTAAACGTTGTGCTGTAATACATTACAATGAATAAATACAGGGATGCTGTATTATTTTTCCAAACTTTCTCTGTACAAACATGCATCTTGTATCTGCATAGTGGCATTTGTTTTCTGTTTACATATTATTTCTAAGCCCTGCAGACATAACTTTCGTTTTTATTTACAAGTTCGTTGTACTGATGCTTTCCAGTTTAACGATCATTCTTTCCTTTAGAGATTGTTGTCAGGAGACAGACACAGACATTAGTATAATTCATTAATACTGGGCATGTTTGTAATTACACAAAATTTAAAAAAATATGTAGTTGTTTATTTTGTAAACAAACCAGGTTATATTTTTGTATGTTAAAGATCCCATGCCTAAAAGTATCTATAATGTTTCAGTAATCAGGTGTGGATATTTCACTTGTTCTCCTGATTTCAGCCCTTTGTAGGGTTACTTTTCAGGCTGCTAACTTATGGTTCTGGATTGTCAGTTTCCAGAAGTTTCACTTATTTTAATTATTCCAGATTCTTCCCTCCCTAAAGCTGTATATCTTCCACCAAAGTGTAAAAAAGTAGTGCCTACAAAAGTGTTTGTGGGACCAAAATTTTGCTTAAAGTTGGAAAGGTGTACTCTCCCACCTGATATGGGGACTGCAAGGAAATAAGTGGGAGGGGTATGAGGGATAATGATAATATAGAAGCACTACTTAAAACTGGACCTAAGAAGTCCTAAGATTAAGTTATACAAAATATATAGAACCTTTGGGAATTTTTCCCATCTATTTAATTATTTTCCTTTCTTATTTCAGCACAGCTTCCAGTGGCTTTGATTGCTTCAGCTCCTGCCTGCCTTGCCTAGGATATAAGTGAGCCAGGTTCTGGCTCACTTATAAGTGAGCAGATTGTCATCTG